CTCGTCTCCCAAGTTGTCCTTACGGCCGAGCCTCCAGCGCATGAGGATTCCCCTGAGCTTCATGTAGAAGATGATGGTGTTGCGTCTGAACAGGCGGACCTCCTGCTGCAGCATGGTTCTCTCCTGAGTCCAGGGCACCTCGTGACTCTGGAGACCCTGAAGCTCCAGACCTTCACGCTGCACCTCCAGGTGCAAACGACAATCTTCCTATTGCACGCAAACACCAAGCAATTTAGTTTAATGGCCATATTTAAATGAAGTGTGTTCATTTTATGGCATTTACTAAAAATAACTTTGATCTGAGGTGCATTAACAATGGCCGCATTCCATTTCTGCATAAAGAACATCCACTGAGCAGACAACAGCCCTCATTTATCCATCTGATACCATTTTAAGTTAAAATGTCCTACAAAAAAAATCTCAAGAAGTTATTTAGCACCTGAGGCAAAGTGCTGACAGCTTCCCGCTCCTCTGTTGCAGCTCTCGTCCTTCGTTCATAATCCAGACGAAACAGAACATCAGAAGCAGCCGAGTCCCGGTGCTAATCCCACAATAGCAACACAGAAAAGGGATAATTAACCCATTACTTCTCTCGGTTTTAAAATCAAATAAGCATTCTCTGGTGAGATTTTTCCTGTTGATCGCAAAACAAAACAAAAATAAAATCACAGAAGCAACTTTTTCCAAAGTTAGTTTAAGCAAACTTTAATTCTTATAATAAATCTGCAGGACTCTGACCAGACATTGTCCACCATTTCCCGTCCAGCTGTAAATTGAGCTGCCCAAGGTGTCCTTACCCTATATCACCCCCCCCACCCCCCCCCCACCCCCACCCCACCCCCAATGTCATATGCAAATCACATACGCTGACGGGGCAATGCTAATCCTGCCGCATCCAAGCTGCTTTCATTCATTTCACCCTACAGATTACACTGGGAGGAAGAAAAACCCACAAGGATGTGCCATAGCTGTGACTGCTGCAGCAATGTGCCACATCACTGCAGCCAGGCCTTACATAACTGTTTTCTATGAGCATGAGGCAGTGATTATGAATGTCTTCAGAGAAGACAAATCCTGGATTTGATGTTTGTTCATGAAACTGCTGAGTCACTAGAGGAGTTTTTTTAGATATAACTCCAGTTCTGACCAGAAGGGACAGAAGTTCTTGTAAGATATTGATGATGATGGCAGGAAGATCCCATCTCTGGTCTTTGTGGATGATGAGGTCATCTGAGCATCTTCAAACCATCTTGCTCCCAGCCAGCATTCCTAGGTGGGCTCCATATGGGTGCCAACAGGGTTTTTCCTGCTGATTCCACGGTGGCCCCATGGGGGTTTGCCCACATGGATGGTAATGGGCCCTACATGGGTTTTCAGAGGGACCCAGATGGTTTGACGTATACATGGGCCCATTAAAATCTATGCGGACAAACCCTTGTAGAGCCCCCATAGAAACCGCAGACAAACCCTCCTGTAAGTACCCATATGGTTTGCCCACATCCATATGGGGCCCATCTATACATGCTGGCTGGGGGTGGTTGGCAGCTCAGCGTAAAATCTGAGGCCATGGTTCTCAGCTGGGAAAAGGTGAATATTGTACTCTACATTAGGGGAATGGTCCTACCACAAAAGGAGTTTAAGTATCTCGGGTTCTTGTTCAAGAGTGAGGGAAGGAGGGAGCGGGATGCAGATTGGGGCAGTGTCTGTAGTAATGTGGATGCCAAGATGAAGGCAAACTTTCTGGTTGACCGGGGTAAGTACCAGATCGGCTCAGAGTCCTGCGTCTACCAATGACGTCACACTACAAAATTGACTGGATATTAGCACATTGACATAGAAAAAATTGGTTGGTCCAAACGACTTATGCATGTTACGTAAGCATGTTGAAGATTTTGGTTGGTGCTGACAAATGATGGGAGTGATGCTCACACATAAGGTGCTCCAGTAGCCAGATCTGCTCAGTGGAACATGTATGACTTTAACATACAAATACTTCATTACTTTTGTTACTGATATTTGGTCCAATAAAAAAGTCACAGACTAAAATACATAAATACAGAAAATTATCTGTAAACTGGAATTCATTAACTCATGTGGGGGAAATATGTTTTGGGGGATTCTATGAAATGCGGCACAATTTTAAATAACTATTGACAAATGGCTAGAACAGAACATAAGAACAAATGAAGTAAACTGAAGAATTGAACACTTACACAAACAGCCAATGGTGTTAATTATATAAAAACGGCAAAGGTTCACATTATATTGATTTTAGCTTCACTGGAAAAACATGGGGTGCAATGTAGTTTGTCCAAGTGGGATTGCCGTAGTGTGACATCATCAGCAGGTACGGGGCCTCGAGCTAATCTAATACTTAAAGTTTTGATCTAGACTCAAATCATCACCTGTAGTAGTTTGTTTTTGGTAATGACTTGAAAATTGCAAATGTTTCCTCCTCAGCTAGGCAGGGCTCACCCTCAGGGATATGAAGCCTGACATTTGGAAGGGACTCAGTATAAAGCCGCTACTTCACCACACCGAGAGAAGCCAGCTGAGGTAGTTCTGGCATCTTGTCCAGATGTCGCTAAAAAGCCTCTCAGTGGAGGGGTTTTGAGCATGTCCTTAGGAGGGGACACAGAGGCTGACCCCAGACAGGCTGGAGGGAACATGTCTCTAGGCAGGCCTGAGAACGCCTTGTGATCCCATCAGAGGAACTGGTAGAAGTGGTTGGAGAGAGGAAAGTCTTGGCTTCCTTGCTGACACAGCTTTGATACCCTAAAGTACCACTACATCAACATGAGGCAGAACATGCTCTATGCCTCTTTGGAGAACAACAAACTAGCAGCAGACACATATTTGGTACAGCTCTGCTTAACTTCTGACTCTTGTGGTTTCCTCAGTCAGTAAATCCAACCTTCAGAAACTTGTGGTAACCTGTCATACATCAATGGGACAATGTGAAACCCAAATGGAGAGAAAAATCAAATAAACATCTGTAAGTATGGACGTGGATTTTAGTGAGAAATCAGAGTGAATGAAGGGAAAGTGTTCATTATAAAGTGATTGTTGCTGGAGTGTCACTAGACATGCAGAGATACATTTAATAGCTGCATCTTCATCTGAAACACATCTCAATTTAAAGAATTTGGTAAAAGATGAGGTAAATAAAAACATCCAAAACCTGTCCAGATCCATGCTTTGGATTTTGGGCCCCTAGTGGAGGTGGAGGGGAGATGGAGGAGGCACTGACCTCTGTTCTTAAAGCCAGGGGCCTGTGGTACATAGTGAGTCCTGTGGCTCCCCTGCTCAGGGCTTGGCCCCCACACTGGGTCTGGATCTGGGGCTCCACGCCTCGCTCCTGTCCTAGTCGCCACTCCAGCTCATCCCTCTGAACGGACTGTGAGTGACATGGGGAGGGAAGGGAGGGGAAAGGGGTGGTGGTCGGACGGTGTAGAGGAGTATATGATGGGAAACGGGTACAGGTGATGGTGATGTTGGTGTTAGAGGGGATGTGTGAGGTGAATTGTAGACAAAACTGACAGAAGACACCAAACAGGGAAAGACAGCAGATGGTGGGGGACAAAAATAAAACATCAAATGGGTAAAGAATACAAGCAGAGGAACAGGACGGGAAAAAAAACCAACTAACGGATTACAGTGTGTGGAAAGGAACAATCGGACTAGAGTACGAAGAAAAGCGCGAAGAGGAAGACCAACTTAAAGATAACGGCGTATGAGAGAGATGAGAAGAGAACAAGAATGAGGATGAACAAAATCATGGGCTGAAACATCTGGTGGGAACACAACAAGGAACAAAGAGAAGGAACCAGAGGGGAAAAGAATGCAAAACACTTGTTATGAAGCGCATGCAATGAGGGATACATGAGTCCAAACCAACAGCTGAAAAATACCACAGAAACCTGAGGAGCGAAAGCTAGCACTCTAACGATCTTACAACACAAGCCAGGGCACAGCTGTGTGTGCTGCAGTAGCAAAACGTTAAAGACGGTTGCATCTTCAGCTAATGTGATGCTAATTCTAATCAGACAAGTTAACATGAAAAATTAAACAAAGGGATTTTCTTTGAGGTTTGAAGCAGGAATATGCTAGTTGGATACTTTGCCATAATTCTAGCGCAATTGACTTACTAGCTAATTTTATTGTTTGCCATAAAAAAGTCACTTAAATGTTACCTTTAACGAGTTAAAGGCATACTGTACAATTATTCATATTTTAAAGTCATTTTGTTTAGTCACTATGTGCTAAAATGACCCCCACTGCCCTCTGTGGCCAGAGAACCACACTTGCAACTTCAGAGTGCCGATTCGGTTCCTGCTGGACTTATTTAAAGAGCAAGTCACCCCCTACAAGTAACTTACTTCACTCCCACTTTATGTTTGAAAAATGCAACAAATGCTGTTGCCTAACAGACCGAGAGGGTGGAGCCACCAACAAATACACAGAGGCTCACAAAAACATAGTGACATCATAATGTACCAGTTAACATCATAGCATACCTCTTAGCCAATAGCGGTGGCAGATTTAAATTCTAATACAGTGCAGAATTTTTACCTGACGATGGCGCAACACTGACAGTTTTAGGCAGAATATTTAAATTTTAACTAAGATGCACTGAAGTGTCAAATTATTAACTACACGTGTCTGCAGCACGATCAGACATTCGTTTATGTAGTTTATCAGAAAAAAAAATTGATTTGGGGTGACTTGCTCTTTAAGTGGAGCCAGCATGGCAGCTCTAACCTCTTCCAGCACGTTTCCTGAATGTTTTAGATGTGTAAACACAGCTGATCTGATTTAGTGATGAACCACGTCTGTAGAAACTAATGAAGGCTGAGGAGACAATTCAGCTATTAAAGCATTAAAAGACTAACGCACAGTGAGGGGATACTTTTGGTTTTACTAACGGACACTAGGGGGTGCTTAAAGCAAGCCAAAACTACACAGTATCCCTTTCACAGCTAAGAGGCATTTATTAATTACATATCTGGGCAGCTTTAAATTTTGATTGCAATGGATTAAAATCACCTGAATTTAGCTGGATTGAGTGAATTAGAAGATTAGTGGATTGCAAATAATTGAATAAGGATATTTCCTTTGCAGGGTCTTGCATAGAGCACTAATATGATTTTTATTGTGAGTATGAGGAATAAAAGCACACAGAAATTAAATCAAAGTTAATAGACTAAAACATCAGAGTTGAAAACCTTGCTGTTTCGCTGTTCATTTGTACCAGTACCTCCCAACACGATAGCTGTATTTCAGCTATCTGCTAATACTACATGCTATGACAGAGTTTTATTTTGAAAGGTCGGCAAAAAAAAATAATTTTCCTCTTATATGTTATTTAACATGAAGAAATATTTCTTGTTTATTCACAATGATAATGTAAAAATCTTACGAGAAAATATTATTTTGTAGCTTTATATTACAGGTTTAGTTGTAAGTAAAATATGGCAGACCACAAAGAATGCCCCCCAGTTTACTTGCTTAGAAACATGCTTGAATGTGGAAATAAAAAAGGCATTAAATACATTTTTACCCTATCTTCTATCTCAAAACAAGGTCATGTGTCTAAACCACCCAGCTTCACCCAGACTAACCAGCGAGTGACTGACCTACAGGTAGAGGAGCAAAGCAGAATCATTGGATAGGATGAGTATGGAGACGGCGTCAGGTTAAGGAACAGTTTGTTTTACGCCTCATGAAAATTTGGCTGATTAGAGAAAAAAAGATGTTAGCTTGATCACGCAGCACAAAGATAATGAACCTGTGGACATGTTGATTTTCACTAAGCTGCAGTAAAAAAAAATAAGCAGGAAGTCTGCTGGCGACGTTCCTCCACCGTGCAACTCTGTTTTTTAGGTCTCCCTTGGAAGCATTATTGAAGTCACCCAATCTGAGCGTGTGAGATGATGTTCAACAGAAACATAACAGCCATTTATGAAAACTGTGCAGCCGAGTTTCAACAGTAAACTTCATCATGCAACGTTTCACAGCTCCTTTAGTATTTGCACCAGTCACACCAAGCACCCCCCCCCCCCCCCCCCCCCCCCAAGCCTGGAGTCAGGGGGACTGGAAGCAGGCAAGATGCAGACTGTGAGTGCAGAGCGAGGCAGACAGGCAGGGTTGCCGGCTATGAGGATGTGCATGGAGATGCCGATGTGGAGACATCGGCAGCAGAAAGCGATGGTGGTGGCAGGTGGGACTGAGAGGAAGTGGTGGCACCAGTGTTGTTGAGCTGGGTGGAGCTTTTAAGGGGGGGGGGGCTTCTCTAATGTGCAGGTTTTGTTTTGATTTGTCTTTTTAATTAGATCTGCTCTCAGTTATTAATATTTGATCAGTTGACTAAAACTAGTATCTAAACAAAAAGGTTAATACTGGTTACAACCACTTTAACTGGGTGTTTGGGTTAGAACTAAAGCCCTGCACAGGATTATTTTATAAATACTTCTTCCGCTGATTTCCTGACCATTACCACCTGCTCCCGCAATATCTGCATCCAACCCTGCCTCCAACCGCAGACCAATTAAAAAAAACACGTTAGGACTCTTCTATTTTTAGCCACAGCAGTCCTAGTGTCCTTGACACAAGCGAGACTTACGTAGGGTGAAGTGGATCTTATGAGACCCCAGTCCCAGTGCAAGGGTCAGTAGTACTCTCCATTCCATCAATGATCTTTGGATGTTTATTTGAGCCATATGCTCCCAAAAGATTTACGTTGGATCCAGCAGGACTTGCAGGATCCCAATCCCAGTCAAGGGTTCTAGTTGGAACCATCAACATATAATAACCAGACAGCAGAACGTGGCATAGAAGTTTAGCGACCCCTAGTGTTTGGCTGCAGTATACTGTAACGTGAGGAAATATGGGTTTTCTGTGTCAAAGGTTTCATTTGACTCGGCTGGGTCAAAGCTGGGTTGCTGAGAACTTTAACCCACAGATTGAGACCTTTGCCGACATGAAGTCTGCAAGAGTCTGCTGCAAACCATAACATCTGCCACCTGCAGTGCCAGAAGATGTTGTTCTCATGGAAGCTAGTCATAACATAAAGTCTTAAACTTCCTTTTCTTTATATTAAATGTTGAATAATCATTATTATCATTTTGCTCATTATAAATGTGTTTTAATCAAATGAGTGATTATTATGCTTTGGGTAATCATAATAACTAATGAATCAATGCTTAATTAAATAATGTTTGAATATGTTATAATGACCTTCACACACACTCTCTCTCACAGTAAACTCCAAAAACATTTGCTCTGACGCACAAGTTTTGCTTTGAGAAGAGAAAGGCTTTTGGTAAGTTTTCAGTTCATGATTCAGTTCGGTGTTTGACAACGAAAGAGAGAAGACGTGTGAACAACCGCTAATGGGGGAACGGAGCCCACCGGCTCCTTTCTCCCCCCCTCCCCTCACGCTATTCTTGTCAAGCCAGACAGGATAGCTGAATTGCAACCGCTAACGCAGACTCGTCCCGAGTCTTTTGATTTTCTGAGTAAATTAAACTTAAGAAAGCGCATCTGCAAACGCTTCATCATCACGTGTACCGGGGGGCATCTCTGGACCGGATCGTCGCACACCTTCGTCTCCTCTGCCAGCCAAGGTGTGTCCTGGATGAAACATCCTCCTGGGACGTTCCGGATCTGAACGAGGGTCCTCGTACGGTGAGGCAGTCCACGACAGATAGCGTTTGATGCATCTTTTCCAACGAAACCTAAGTTTATTCAAACCATCACTTTTCACTCAGACACCTGTTTCTTCCTGAAGCAAAATCAGACGCACACACGCATTCATCTCACCTCATTCTCAATTAACACACATTCAACACAGGGTCTATTTGTGCAAGCTTAAAATATCAACTGTTAAAGATTGTTCAACAAAGTTGCCAATGTTGATTGTTATTTCCTATGCTTGTCATTTCAAAATCATTAGTTTAATATGAAGAATTAAAACTTTTAACTTTCAAACTTGTCTCTTCATTGAACTGAAACACAGACCCATGGATATTATCGTCAGTTTATCGATGAAAACAACCTTTGAGTCTTCTTAAAACTATAAAATTTGGTTATTAATTTATTAAAATTAATATCTCAAATTAATATGTAGAATGGTTCCTCTTTCATAAAAGAGCATAAACCATTGCACTACATACCTTTTAAGTCCTGCCCCCTTCTGTTATGTTTTCACCTCATACGCATCACAGAGTTCTTACGTTGCTTAAGTTTTCACCGTGATTGTGGGCATACTCAAAAACCCAACATGGCTGCATCTTTAAGGAAGATTGTGCAGGTTGTCTTTTGTGAATCAGAAGTAGACATCATCATCATCAGTGGTTGGGACTCAAATGTTAGTTGCACAAGACCAAGGAGGGGAAGGAAGGGATGTGGTTAAAACTAGCCATACTTACCAAAAAATTGAAATACAAGTCATGCCAATAATAATAATATTAAAGCTGTTTGTGTTGTCATTGTACCCTTGTTTAGATGTTATTTTTTTAAATCTTTCTTTACTTTGTTTGTCCAGTTTGGTCAACACCCCTCAGACTAACTGTATGGATGCTGTCTCTTAAACGGTAATAAAAACACTCCTGAATCATCTTTGTAATTTATTTCACTTAAATGGCAAATCTGCAACACAAGCTAGTAGAGGTGTGACCAAGTCACAGCTTTGCAAGTCACAAGTAAGTCACAAGTCTTTCCAGTCAAGTCTCGAGTCAAGTCCAAGTAAAAGACAATCAAGTCCAAGTCGAGTCCAAAGTCAATGATGTGGAAGTCCAAGACAAGTCCAAGTCCTTAACTTTTAATATTCAAGTCATAATCAAGTCACCTGTCCAACTTCAATTTAAAGACAATGATAAATAAATTCCAGAAATAAAGCTTCTTAAAACTTAATTTATTTGCTCAAACAAGCAGAAAATGCAACTGAATTTGATTGTAAACAAAGTGCTGCTGCATTTAGCAGTAAATCAAACCCAGAAGGAAGAATGATTTATGATTTTTGTCCACTTTTGTGCTAAAACATCAAATATGCTCAGGTCATCATCAAGTCAACAGATGCAAGTCGATTCAAGTCGCAAGTCATTGACGTTATGGTCCGAGTCTATCAAGTCAAGTCAGAAGTCATTAAAATAATGACTCGAATCCAAGTCATGTGACTCGAGTCCACACCTCTGCAAGCTGGCTTTTAAACACAAACACAGTCATGGAACTCTCACGCCTCCCATTGGCTATGATCCCTGGGCCACAGTTTTCTAGGTACAAACGTCTTTTGTTGTCCACAACTTCAAATGGTGTATTTCTTTTTGTATGGGGAGAAAAAAGTTTCAAAAGATCTGTGCGTGTGTGTCTAGATTTGTGTGTTTAACTAAAGATTTGTGTGTGTGTACTCAATGATTTGTATGTGTAAGAACGGAAGTTACACACGAAAATGTAAACACAAGTTACAAATCAAGAGTTACACACGCACAAATATAGACACACATGCACAAATTTAGACACACACGCACAGATCTTTTGAAACTTTTTTCTCCCCATATTTTTGGCACTCTGGTAGTTTGCCCTAAAGTTGAAGTGGTAGCAGCCAGCCTTTGCTCCTGCTCTGATATTACTGAGCGGAGAAGCTCTCACACCAGTGGTGTTCTGTTGATAAATGCGCGAGTGTGTAATGAGTGGAGGACAGGGAAATGTGGAAGTGCTGTGGACCGGTGGGACGGATGGTGCCATCTTTGGTTTTGGACCAAGTCCTGTTATTGGCAAAGGTTTTTAGATAAATGCTTCATTAATTTTTTTAATGTTTTTAATTTCCACAACATATTTATAGCTATATATGAAAAAAAATGTTTTAAGCTGGCTTGTTTTGCAGATTTGCCATTGTAGCTGTAAACTGAACAATTCCAACCCTCCACAAACACATGGGTGTTTTCTCAAATGGAACCATACCATTAGCGGATATTTTCCTGCACTGAAGGGCACAGCTGTCCAGAGCGTGCTTAACATGCAGACCAGTCCCTAATTACAGCTGAATCTTATTGCACACACTGCTGACTTAGGCTTTCACGGAGTTAGTTCATCGAGTCTCTTAATGACTGAAGATTTAAGGACATTTAATCAGAAGAAAAAGAGATTCTCGCGTTTACCTGAACACCGCAGAGTGGTTTTCGACATGTCTGGACTGGGCCACTACTTAGATCATGTGAGGCATTCACTTTAGACATTTTGAAATGATCTGTACTAGAAGGTGAGATTATCTCAAGGTTTAACGCTAATCATGTAGACCAAAAGTAAAACAACAATCCAGCCGCTGCACAAAGGACATCTGCACGGAATAAACATTTCAGTAAAGCAAGTTAGAAAAGCTCACCTGAAAATCTGTGACCAGATCTCTTCGAAAGGTGCCGATGGGAGAATCGCGTGACATGGATGTGACTGTAGACAGGAAGCTGCTGGACTCTGTGAGGTTCGGCATAGGTGAAAGGTCATCTGTCCTTTCTCTCAGGCCCTCTCCTATGTGCTCCAGTTTCTCTGTGAAGATGTGCAGCTCAGTACGGAAAGCCTTCATGCGCGTGTTGATGGTGTCCAGGACCTGAGAGTCTGGTTTGAAACCAGATGTTGCCCCACCTTCAAGACTCTCCCCCGTTGTTACCAGAAGCCTCCCCTCAAAGATCAAACTGTCCGTGTCGGTGATCAGACGGTCAACCGTCTTCCCGAGACGGTCAGCCTCTCGCTTCACGTTAGCAAGTGATTCCCTCTCCTCCCTTCTACGATTAGCTAGTTCAGTAGCAGTGAGCTCACTGCCGTCTGCGGGTTTGGTGCTTCCCAACCCTGAGGTGGTTCCGGTTTTCTCAAACAGGTCTTCAGAGTCACTCTCCCCACCAACAGGGCCTTCTCTCTTGGGCTGAAGGAGAAGAAGTCGCCCAGCTTCCTCTTCCTCAGTAGCTTCTCGCCGGCCAGCATCACTTTCTGCGTCACTGTCTTGAGGACTACCGGTGCGAAGGCCGAGGTGCGCAGCCAGATCACAGCGCTGGACGTTGGACATGAGGACACGGTTCTCATACTGCAGCTTCATCACTTTTCCACTCAGCTCATTGATTTGCATCCTGGCAGATTTGAGCTCCTCCATCAGCAACCCAGTGCTGGAGCCATTACCGCCCCCCCCATTGGGAGGTTTAAACAAGACACCCTCGCAGGCTTCCTCACCAACAGGCTCAGAGCTGCTGCTGCTGCTGCTGGGGCCAAACTTGAAGCGATTGAGCTCAGATGTTAGCTGCCTGTTGTGGTCCTCAATCTCTGAGATGGATCGACGTAGCAGCTCAGCCTCCTCTTCAACAAACTGGAGATGACGACGCAGCTCACCGGCCGACTCCAGTGGATCACCGCCGTACGGCGACGAGGGCATGCTGGAGAAAGGCTCCCGTCCAAAACAATCCCTTTCATACTGACTGCGAATGTCTTCATTTTCTGCTCGTAAACTGCGGTTCTCCACCTCCAGCTCCACGATCTTTCTCCCCAGAATATTGGCCTCCTCTTCCACCAGCTTGAGGCGCAGACGCAGCTCGGCCTCTCGTGTTGTGTGAGGACCACCTCCAGAGCACTCGGTCAGAGGAAGGGGACTGTCAATGTCGCCATAAATGGATTTGTACTTCTGCAGCTCCCGCTCAAGTTCATCCTTCTCACGACCCAGCTTCGCCATCTTCTTCCTCATCAGGTTGGACTCCTCTTTGGCAAACTGGAGCTGGCACCGCAGGTCTGCACTGTCCTCCTACAAAGGTGAAAGGAGCGCATCACTTTATAAACTCTCGTCAAAGCTTTGCAGCAGCTTGTTTCTACAGTGATGAATTACCAAAAGATCAGCTTTGGGTTCAATTAACGTTCCATCTGTATTCATCAGATTAAGGTGAGTTTTCCATTTTGTTTTTAACTAAATGATCAAGGAGTTCAATCAAAAGTTATTTTCACAAAAACTATTCCTGAAATTAAAGATTTTGTTGATTTATATAGCAATTTTAATAGCATCATATTTACAGTACTAATTACATGAAAGATAATGTGTTTTTTACCTGACTGGTGGATTTCTTGTCTTTGAAAGCTTCCCTGCTCCCTCGTCGTTTCAGCATAGTCTGAGAGAGAAAAAAACAATGTCATAAAAACATTTAAAAATCTGTCCTGTAAATCATTTTTGCGATTTTGCAAACTGACACCGATACGGTGGAATAAATGTGTTTACAATCATGTGGGTCAACTGAGGCTAAAAGGACTCGGAAAGAAGATGGAGAATCATTCATCTATGTGTTAACAACCTCATGTAAACAGTATGATGCTTTAAAACCCGTCTCATCCCACCACACATTTGGTGACACATGATGGTTCCAAAGAAAAACATCTCCTGCTCAGAGGAGAAAATCTGTCCTGCAGAAGCAGAAATCACAGTAAAAGCTGGGATGAAACGGAGCCTCCTGCATGCCAGCTCAGACTCAACAAGTAATAGAATCTTTCATTTTTATCACCTTATCACCTCTGTCTTACGTCATCATGGGATGAGCAGGAGACAAGCTGAGAGAGGAGAAAGGAAGGAATCCCTCGACGACACATCAACGTCCTGACAGACTTATTTACATGTGGAGATGATCAGAACATCATCTTTCTAGAAATCATGTTTTCTTCTGCCCTAACATGTGGCCATTGTAAAGAACAATAAACCGGTGTCCAAACGGCAGCTTCAAACCTGCAGACATCCTTTTTGCACAAATACTGAAGAAAACAAGCAGCTTCTTGTGTTTCTGGGAAGCTAAAATCATAATATGAAGATATTATACTTTAAATGTTGTGTAACAATATGATGTTAAATTAAATCAGTGTTTTTACTGTTCAAAACCTCTTAAATGTGTAAAAATGAACCCGTTCTTCAGTGGGTTCTTGTGTGTGTGGTGCTCTAACCTCTCCAGCTATATAGCTGAAACTCTCCAAATGTGGACACAGTTTAGCTGGAAATTTGACCCAAAACACCCCTCCTCACGTGCCCCATTTGGGGTAATTATCATTTCCTGCCTGCCTCCCTAGATGCTTGTTTTCAGTTATGGCACTAGAAAGGTTAGAGGAGAAATTGCTCTTTCTCTAAATTATGTGACATTTGATCTTCCAAAGATTTCTTTAGATATTTCCAAATGAGACATTTTATCCAGAAAAACTTCCCAACCTTTCCAAACCTGCTGAATAGTAACTTTCTAGACGACATTCATAGTATCCCCTCCACTTCCCTTGAGGAAGTCAGGGGTAGTTGGGAAGCTGACCTTCGTATGAAAATTAGTGGTGAAATGTGAGAGATCATTCTTAGACATATTCCTGGTTCTTCAATGTGCATGCGACATGATCTGATACGATTAAAAGAGCCATTTTTGACTTAATTTTTGACTTATGCACAAATATCTATGGTAGAAACGTTTGCCTTAGTCCCCTGGGCGCTACATTTGGTATTGCTCCATCTTTCCCTTTATCCAGTAAGGCTTGTGATGTCATTGCTTTCCCAACCAGGAGTATTTTGCTCACTTGGAAGCAGAGCTCTCCATCGTGCATCTCCAGACGAATTAGAGAAACAATGCTTTTCTTAAAACTGGAAAAAAATAAGTTGCACTTTGAAAAGAACCAGCCTGCAGACACGGACCTCTTTGAAACTTTTTAGGAAACTTTACATTTCTCTTGACGAAAGGACTGATGATTGTGATGAAATGTTCTTTTTGTTGTTTGGTTAGCATTGCATTATAATTATGTAACGGTAAATTTTATAAATCATTAATTCTTTGTACATCTTTCAAAGGGATGACTGGTTGGGGGGTTCATGCAACACTATCAGATTTCTTATATAATAAGTGGTGATGTGCTGTGGGTGAAATAAACTTGGACATCTAATTTAAAATAAAGACGTGGGAAAAAGAAAAATAATAAATCACAGAAACTTTGGTTTGACTGGTTCTGATTCAGATACACGTCAAACTGAAAGCATCCATAAAGTAAAGCCTCGACCTTCGTTCCTACATCATCACATGATGAGTTTAGTCAAACTTTGACTCAGTGATGAATAAAAACTGAATCAAAAAGATGAGATCATTTTTGTTGTGATTTGGTAATAAATAAATTAATAAAAACACAACATGAATCAGATTTTGTTTCCACGGACTCTGTTTTGCTTTTCTTTTTGTCTCGCTCACATTTTTCCACAGAAAACTCCTGACTGCACAGGCTCCGTTAGCTCAGAAAGCATCCAGACACAGTCCGTCATGGCCGCATGTGGAAAACATGAGGGAGGAACCCGTTTTGGTCCAGACCAGCAACAGGCTCTGACCTAGATCCTGGTGACATCACTTTACCAGCAACCTACAGCGGCTGTATGAAAACCAGAGCTCAGACAAGACTCAGTTCTGTCATTTTCCCATTTTTAAGCGTCTAAAACTCATTTACTCTAATTAACGCAGCACACGTCCAAATTCACTGGTTCTTCACCAACAGTAGTGGTCTATGCCCATTAGAGAAGGCAAAAGCGAATCTCCACAGGGATTAAACGACATGTTACACATCAGACTAACAAGATCAAGGATCCTATTTTATTATACGTTTAAATCTTTGAAAAGTGATCAGATTAAAGATGGTGGTTCTCTTCAACACATGCTGTAATTTAGGAGGGGTTGGAAACCAAACTGAATAGCTTCTAGATTACAAATAAATAATTAATACCATCTGTGACAGTTATATCATGTGACCCTGACTCCATAATTACATATTCAGTGTGATATAAACTAAAAATCTGCACATTTTCTTACAACAAACGAGTCCAGATCTCTAATTTAAAAAGAGGAATTCAAGTGGATTCGGAATTTAGCTTTAAGCTTTTTTATTTTTCCATTTTCAGCCCTGGGATTAAAGATTAGAAGTGTTATAACTCAAAAAAGAAACTATTTCCTGTCTGTCACAGCAAGTCTACGTTGAACAAGCATTAAGCATTAATTAATTCCTCTCCACAGTAATTAGACAAGCCTCAGAGGGAAACATTGTGGTGAGTGTTTGCAGGTGTAGGACTTATGCAAGTTCAGACCGTGCTGCAGCTATAATCAGTTATGTTCGCAAAGACAGTGTAGGATGCCACGTCTTCGGACTCACTTGTTTGTGCGGGAATCATTTTTGGAACAAGTGTCGGATGACTTCACACTGACATCAACCTAACAAGTCCTACAGAGGGGAAGAAAAGACAGTTTTGGGAGTGGAGGGGAAAGAGTGAGAAGGAGAGCACAGCGAGTGTATTTTCAGCAGCATCTGTATTCATCGGCTTGGCCTACTTATGATTTTCCTCAGACGGCACGCTGCAGAGAGGCGTCTTGCAGTGGCAAGATTAAACAGGAGGAGTGATGTGGCCGCACGAAGGAGGGTGGGATACGGGGGCTGGTCCGGGATGCCGAGCACAAAAGGAGCAGAGGAGACCGTTAAGATTCAGATTAGCCTATTTCAGCCTTGACAGAGGGGAGCTCAGACCCCGACACAACAGAGAAAATGTGGCTCAGAGAGATAAGTCACTCTGAAATGTTTAGAGGCAGATTATGTTACTGAGATCTGGATGAATAGGCGCTCAATCTGTAATCCGTTTCAATAAATTAATTATTAAACACTTGAGCGAATGCATTAAGAAACGAATTCCCTCTTTTTGTCACTTCTTGCTTTTCAAACCAAGGACACACACTGATGCAAAAGAGGTTTCCACGAGAGCTCCTGCTACACTAGGATTAATAGAGCCATGTTATTTTTACACGGATGATCAATCTGTGGTCGGTAGCACCTGCAGTAGACTAAATATACTTCATCTGGATGTGCTCCATCAGCTAACAATGCACCATGCAACCCTTTGGAATTTAATTTGCAGCTGAAAAGACTCCACAATCCCTCAGACTGTCAGCAATAAGGCAAGAAAATTATCTCCAAAAGTCCTCCTAAAGCATCAAAACAAAGTGCAATCTAAGGATGGAGCGGAATGCATACCTGCAGTCATCCAGCTTCATCAGTAAGTGAGGATGTTGGTATCTATTTTATGCTTTTTTTTTAGGGCATCCTGGTGCAAGCTCGAATGAGGCTGAGGATTTGTCAGCTTACATCTAACTGATCTCTGAGGGCACTCCAATGTCAGGTCATCCCGAACGGATGTCAGCATCTTGTAAAACGAGCGAAACGTCTTTATCACATTGCTGTTTTTGACATTAATGACTGCCCAGAGAGATCTTCCTCCACCCTGGTGCTGGATTTGGACTCAGACGATACTCAAAGAAGCAAGAGCAGAACTTTGGAAGAGACGCCCGACATGTGATTTATCATGTACGTTAGGAAAATGGAGATTTTGTCAAAAATGTAGGCGGAATTTCATTTTAATCCTAATTCCTACACCACACCTACAGTACATTGTGAGTGTGTGTTTGGGTTAAGATTAAGAGCCGTACCAGCTCCTTTAGTGATGATTTTCTCAGTAAAACGTGTTTTATAAGCCACAACAACCAATGCAACATCTAGTTTATTTACTAATGTTCATCTTCCATCTGTTGCAAGCTGAGTAACTAGTTACACAACTAATCCGCAACTGACTGAACAATATTAGAACATTTTGCACCTCAAATTTAATTTAAAATTAGTCATAGAGTTAATATCTTCCAGAACTGTCTCATCTTAGTTCCCATGAGTCAGAAAGTACAAGAAATGTGAGAAGGAACACAAGTACAGAGTCGTGTCACGCCAATAGGCAGGGCAGGCTGCAGCTTGGGGTCTCCTGGCCACCGGGGGTCTCCAGAGGGCTGATAAATCTCCCGACAGCTTAGCCTACATGGCTAGTCACAGACACGTAAATGCCTCATGGACTGGCACTACCTATTGTAGCTGCCATAATGATCGGATGCCATTTTAGATGGGTCTTCATTTGCCCCACGTGCATTCATTTCCACTAAGGAAGGTGCTTATCGAACTAAAAAAAAACGTTTATTATGTTTTTATTTATTTATTTATTGTTTTTCACAAAATCAGACATGATAGTTAAAATATACAGTGGTATAGAAAAATTACTTTTTCACACAGGGCAATGTAGGTTTGAATTTTG